TACCGTAGAAGCGCTGCGAAGGCGGTGACTTGTCTTAACTGTTTAGAGCAAACTACTTCTGTAGTTGCTGTACTTTTCATCCTCAACAGAAGTACAACAATCAGTTCAGCTACTTTTTAGGAACCAGTCATTATTAAGTTATTGATGGATAAGGCAAATTACTTGCTCATATAGAGTATGGCAAAGAAAGGGGATGCACTTAGTTACATTGAGATGCTACCTTTTTGTTTCAGATACTAGGAACAAGAAACCTCTACCAAGGTCATATCTACAGTAATAGGTGGCTTCTGGTATACAGCTTTTCCTTTCCTTTGGGCAAAAAGCTCCAGAACTTTCCTAGTGATGTCATACTTTTCTGGGAAGAGTGATTGAACAAAAAATTTCCAGGTTTTCTTGGGCTCCCCACTCCTCACTCCCCACTAAAAAAAAACCAGCCATGGAGTTTTGAGGGAGACAGGTAGTAGGAGAAAGTGGATATATGTGAGAACCAAGTACTTTTCATTTGTGATTTGTGTGTAAAAACATGAAGGCAAAGAGTTATGTGAGGAGTTGAGGGCCTGAGCTTGGCGATGTCCTAGGTGTGATGCGCCTTGAGAAAGCTGAGGCACAGATTAAGGTTCTGCGTTGCTGTTTGGAGCTCTTCAAACGCTGTGATCCAGGAACAGAAAAGCATGTTTTTGTGTTTGGGAGCAATACTAAATATATTTGAGTTTATATCAACTCAACCCGGAGAAAAACAGAATCCCCAATTTCAGTTTGTGCCTTTTATGGTTTATTTACCAAATAATGCTTTAAATCTGCTCAGTACTGTAACACTGCCCTTTTAAGGACAAATCATTTTGAATTATAAGATTCTGGACTTGTAGAAAATACAGAGCATTGGATGCTGGAGACAAGTTCCAAGGTAAAAATTTAAACCTGCCTTGATTGCCTGCTGGCCCCCAGGCTGGCATAGTTCTCTGGCATGTGATCACGGCCTCAGCCCTGGCTCTTGGTGATACTCGTGCTGTGTCCTTCAATGGTGGGGAAAAAAGAAACTGGTTGCCTTTGGGAGGGAGGGGGAAGAGCCCTGGGAAGGGGCGTGAAGGAAATTTCTGGGGTGAAGGTGGTAGTCTACATCTTGATCGTGGTTTGGGTACACAGGTGTATACATTTGTCAAAACTTATCAAACATAACTAATATTTGTGCTCTCCGTGGTATGGAAACTTTTCAAGGAAAAAAATACTGAACTTTAGTGATATGTACTGTTGAGTTTTAGAAGGATGGGTCTGTACCCATCTGCAGTTTATCCAAAATACATAAAAAAATTTAGATGGATTGATAGATGGGTAGATTATTAGATATGTGATAAAACAAGCATAGTAAAATGTTCATGGTTGACTCTTGGTAAATGGGTGTTCACTAAAACTTTTTTAACTTTGCCAGGTATTTGAACATTTTCATAATAAAATGTTGAGAAAAAGAGGGTTTATCACAATATTTGATGTCAGCAATATATTGAAATACTCAGTTCTTTTAGTATGCTCGATGTTCTTAGAATGCCATTATGTCATAGGATACTACAGAAATACTTGCTAGCGGGGAATACCAGCCTGTGGCCTGGTTAATTCCCTTGTCTTCCCCACTGGTGGTGATGGTATGGCAGCCACCTTCTTCCTCTCCTCAGGCCCAGAATGACCCCCACAGATTGTGACAGGGCTGGTATATAAAACAGCAGCTAATCAGCTTATTTTTTCTTAGGATTTTATACCTCTCCTAAGTGAGGGGTATACCTGCCCCTTGAAGGGACCATGCTAGGGATCATGATTTTCCTGCCAGTACACTGCAAACTTCAATGAATGCCAGGAAGTCCTTTTTAATTTTATACATTTATTAAGTACACAGACAACTAGGTAGTAACTGTGCAAGTGTAAATACAGTGTATTCAGATCTGATACTTTGTATTTAACTTCTAAAAAGTAATTCTGTCACAATGAAATTTGGATCCTTCATTTTGCCCAGACAAAAACTAATCTTTTTTTGTTGAAGGGCTTTTTCAAGTTAATGTCAGTGTGTGTAGCAGTCTGGTGTACCCATAATTTGACCAGCTTTCAATGAAAACAGCTATTTCTCCCCAAAATGTCAAAAGGCAGTTTGAGTTGTCTATGCCCTGGTCAAGGTTTGTTGTTCCTTTTCTGGATTTATTGTTACCAACAGTTGCAGCTATTTACAGCTCACACCAGAGTGTTTAATTCTGTAGCAGCCCTCATCTTTTTGAGTTAGAAGATAAGCCGCACAGCACCAGGTCTGTTCCTGAGAAGGTTAAGATGATACTAGCTTAATTAACTGCTCAGTAACATGAGTATGTTAACTTAGGGGAGCCTTGGCTCTCACTGGCAGAGCGACAACCTGACAGTGTCCTGAGAGTGGTGTGGCTGCTCGGACACATCACTGCCCATCTATAATATTAGCCTCCAAAGTGAAGATGTTCTGTAAATTGGCTTCTTTTATTTACATAGAGATCCATGGGATCTATCATCCATGAAAAAGTAAACCCTAAATGCGTTTTCTATATCCATAGTTCCCAAACTGTGATCCCCAGACCTGCAGCATCACTGGGAACTGGTTAGAAATGCAAAATTGGCTCCCACCCTGGACCTGTGAAATCAGAAAGTGGGTGTGGAGCCCAGCAACCTGTGGTTTAACAAACCCTCCTGATTCTAATGCACACTGGAGTTTGAAGATCGCTTTTTTGCCAGAAGGGAAACTGCCTGGAGGAAAAAAGTGGACATAAATTTGTTTTCACCACTAAGTTTGTGGTAATTTGTTATATCAGTAATAGGACACTAATATACACCATTAATTCATTAGTGTTAATACATGCCAAATTATCTCCTTTTAAATAAAAAAATTATTTTTAAATAGCCCTAAATATGTCAGTCATAAGATTAATAGAAATAGTGATAATCAGTGTGAAGGTTAGTTAAATCAGTTTGTCTAGATTGATTGCACAGAATAATTGGAAATGAAAGGATTCACTCCTCTATGCAGTGACTTGCCAGAAAAAGTCTCTAAATGGCTGTCATTCTTCTAGTGAATTAAAATAGAATGGTATAATGAACCATTGATCACACTGTTACATAAATGACACAAGAAAATGTCTTTCTAGGGAACACTGAAAAATAGATTTGAAGTCTACATGAGAACCAATGGCCATACAGCCTGACGAAGTAACAATTCATCATCTGTGCTTGCTATTGGTATGAATCTCACTAAATAACTGATTTCTAAATCACTATAAAACATGATTCGTATTGAATAAATTTGTAAATGGCCAGAGCATTAATGCACAGATGTGAATGAGTCAGATCTTAGTAAATGTGTTTTCAGTGTAAAATGCCAGTTCTGTGTTTTAAAACAGTGGCCTTCACAAAATGAAATATGCATCTAACAGTGGAAGCACAAGATGATCCCTAGAAGTGCAGGAGATAATGTAGAACTTTGATTTTTAAAATCGTTCTTTTAAACTTTCATTTTTCACTGTTTTATAATGTACTTGATAGATCAGTGTAATAGTGTATGTGTGTGTGTATATATATATAACTCATAGTCAATTCTTGGAGTGTATTCTCTAGTTATTTTTCTGATATGTGATTAAAAAAAAAATTCAGAAGCACCAACAATAAACCACCAAGCCACTGCCTCTGTCACAGCCTTATGCTTGATTCTGGTCTAAATTAACACCTAAGTGATTTAAACAAAAAATTTCTAACTACTGCTAAATGGAAGTTGCTATCAACCTTTTAAACAGGCTAACCACACACAAAAAGTATGCCAGAGCTTTAAAAGTAGCATTTACTTTTAAAAAGCACATTATGAGGTAGACTTGTGCCAAAATATTCAGTGCATATATTAATAAAAGGGTTATTAAAACCTTTTAATTGTTAGGTATGTAGATAAATTCACCTACAACTCTACATTTCTCAATTTCAAAATCTCAAAAACAATTCCATTGAAAAAGTAAAAGCCAATTACATTTTTAGAAAGCTCTTCTAATTCTGAAATGAAGAACATTTGATGTGTTAAAAAATTTGTCAGAGTAGTTTTGCTCTAATTTTAGATTTTAGAAGTTATTTTACTAAATCATTCACTTTATGGCTAGTTTTCAGCGATTTTTATACCAGAGGTTAGTAAAAGATTCTGTAGTGCTTATTCTTTCCACCATGTCAAGATAATAATATCCAAGCAGTTCCAGATACATAATTTGTGAGCCTAGTGCAAAATAAAAATGTGGGCCCCTTTGTTCAAAAAACTAAGAACTTTGAGATGACTTCAGAGCATTAATGGGGCTTTTCTCAGTGTGGGATGCTATATGACTGCATACATCTCACATCCATGAAGCTAGCCCTGAATTTAAGTCTGTTTCAGTTGAGTTATGGAATACCAAAACCTTAGTTATCTTTGTCCTTTGAGTCCTTAATACTGGAATAGAAACATAGTAGGTATGCAAATGTTTGTTGAATGAAAAATTGAGTCTTGTAGTTTTCCAGCTCATTAAGTGCTCAGTTTTTAAATCGTACTTTGTTGAATATGTTCATTATAATAAATTACAGATTCTCTAATACTGAATAACTTGCACATCACATTCTGGCTTCATGGAAACTTGAAGCCACATATGGTAAAAATTCATTTGATTCATTCAACAAATATTTATTGAACAACTATTCTGTCAGATCCTGTACCAGGCACTGGGATACAAGATAGAGAGTTCCTGCTCTCAGTAAGCTTACAGTCAGGCAGAAAAACTTACAGCATCTCAGAACTTAGTGACAAAACCATCTGGTGTCTAGTATATTACCTGGAACATTCCAAATTTCCTGAAAATAAGAACCTAAATTTTACCAGAAAGCAGTTTGGAAATGGAAGATGCAATGAAATTTACAATTCAAACACTCAACCTTTAATATAAAATTGAAATTAAATGAGGAAGACATTTAGGAAAGCTGAAAATTCTACTTTGTACCAACTTAAATTTTAAAATTATTTTATTATCTCTGGGTGACATTTTCATTTACAGTGACATTTACATATACATATGGGAGGTGTGCATATGTGAGATGTGTTCCTTGGAGCTTTTGATGAAACCCATATTCTATCACTAATCATTTACAACTAAAGAGGGCAGCATACAAGTATATTTGAGACTTTCCTTTTGATAGTAATTTCCATTATCTGAATGGGAGAAATTCCTAGGAGTCGTCTTCAGGGTATACATTTCTGTACAATCTTATTCTGCAGTGAGACTAAACTATTCTTTGTAATAATGTGTGATAATTCAAGCATGTATTTTAATGGTTATTGACAGTTTAATGGTATCAAAGGTACTCTTTAGTCTACATGGATTTTATTTTCATTGTTTTTTCCACGTACTCTTTTTTTCCATTAAAAGCATGAAAGACCCCTGGGCAAATTCACAGCCTTTGTTGTTGCTTCGCATACTTTGGTACATTGCTCTTTATTCCTTCATCTAGCAGCATCCTTAGTTTGTAGTATTTTACTTAGTGACAACTGCAAGAAATCACTAGCCTGAGCTTTAACTGGGAACTTCGGTTATTCAGAAGGTTCTCGTGAACCTGTCAGAAGGAGGGTAAGCAATCAAAAAAGCTGCCTCAAACACAGCACCCAGAGCTTGTGCGGCTCTTTAGACACTAAGCAGGCTTGGCTCTTTCATGGCCCAGCTCAGAACAGATGAACACAGCGTATTAGAAGGAAGTAGGGAGCATGTTAAAGGCAGGCATATTCATAGTGTGGTAGGAGACAAACTACTTATCAAATATAAATTTCTTTAAATTAAAAAAGCCAATACTAGCAATCTGAGGTAAATGATGATATATACCTAGGGCTGAGGGAATTAACTTTATAATAATTGGTATTAACTCATATTTGTTATAGCCCTTTACATTTTATGAAGTTTTTTTTACACACATCAGAACTCATTAGATATTTGTAATATACCAATATAGCTTTTACTTTTCATGAAAAAGTGAATTATACTGAGCATGCTGTTTAAGAAGGCAGGAGGTATACTAACATATCTGAAAGACTTGCATCAAAGATAACTACAAGTTAAAATTTTGGCACTTAAGAGATATGCATTAGTTACCAAAAAATGCCTATCTCTGCTTTCTTTCATGACCAACAGAGGTTGTCACTGAGCACTCTCACAGTTCTCAGTGACTGCTGGTCACTCAGTGGGTATGATTGTCATCATCAGTAACTTATCAGAGTACTTCTGCTAAACACAAGCTTAACAGATATTTATGGATGCCAATACCACATATTCTGACTAATGGGAAACACTAGGCTTCTAAAAGATTCTCAGTGTGTTTCCTATATTGCACTTTTCTAGAAAACAAAACTTTAACCATTATATAATATAATGTGATCTTGGTTTTAGACATAGGAGCAGGGAACATGTGATGTACCTTTTCCTAAAATTTTTGGTATAGCCTCTTCAGGGATGTAGCAAGTAGAAATAACAAAATACACATGTTCTTTGCGCTTCTGTGAAAAAAGACGACACATATTTTCAAAAGATTAAAATAGAGGTCTCTTCTGCTTTAACCACTTCATTTTCACAATTGAAAATAAGGAACTACTGTGTAGTTGATGTTCCTAAACTCATTCAACACAGCATTGACATAAATATACTGTTCTGCAGCAACCTTGTAAATTTACATTTACCAATAATTATACATTATACCAATTATAATACACTTGACAATTATCATGAATAAAAAAGGCTAAATAAAATTTAGAGTAAAATACACCAGATTAGATTTCATAATCCAAGTGAAATGGGACCTTGAAATTATAAAATGTCATTTTCTCCAGTAGTATTCCTGATGCCCTTTAATTCCTTGGTTAATATCCTGATTTTTTATCATGACCACACCTCACAGAGGACAAAGGTAACAGTTCTCTTGAGTTTGCTGGCTGTTAATTTTTAATTCTCACCTGTGTGGCTCTATTGTTAAACAAGACTCTATCCTCTATTTTTCTTAATTTCATAGCTACTTATCTGCTTGAGGCTTGTTAGTTAGGATTGGACTGCATGTATGCCCTGCACTTCCTGCTGTATTAATTCTAACGGAAATTGTCAGTCTTGTAAGTTCTTTTATGTGATGCAGAAAATAAGCCAGCTATGTAATAAAGAACTTCCAGAAGATGCTAAACAAATAAATTAACAGGCGAGCTTATTGTCCTTTACAAACTAAAGGGCAAAGTGATAGAGTAGAAAGCATGGGCTTTAGACTAAAATGACCTGGGTGTGAATCCCAGTGTTGCTACCCGATGCCAGCTCTGTGACTTAAGGTAAATCTCTTAACCTTTCTGTCACTTCCTCCAAAGTAAACTGGTGCTCATGCCACCTACCTTGCAAGGTTTTTGTGAGGTTTAGAAGCAAAGTATGTACATCATCTAACACATGATGGGTTGCTCTATAGTGGTTGAAAAGTCAGACTGAAATTGAGAGTTGGGCAACAGGTGGGCCCAGCATCTGACATGGAACTCTAGACAAAAGGGATACAATTTATGGAAACTTCTTTTAATTATCAATACAATTATTATACTTTGTAGCTTGTTTTATTGTTAACATTGGGTGTTTTTACCTCCAAATATTTTAAATATATAGTTTTTAAAATTATGGAAAACCTATGTTTTCACTGTACTTTGTGGTAATGTTTTTGATGACTAAAAACATCCAATTTTTTTGAACAGCAATGGTAAAATGATCTAATTTTAAAAATTTGTCCTAGAGCCAATATTGTTCCAAGCAAGATGTAACCTCCATACATGTGTGTGAATGGCTGTCTGGTAGGACCTACAGAGAAGTGTCATTTTTATTCACGTATTTGGGTTCCTTAAACATTTCTGTAAGATTTAAAATGCTTTTTTTCTTATGGCTGGAATTCCCAGCATCTATTCGCATGCTATCCTTTTTCAATCTACAGGCCAGTTTAAGGGTATTCACAATAATACAGCTTAAAGTGTTCATAAGGCATTGTTCTAACAGCCAGCATAATACAATAGAAATTGCCCTGAGCAAAGAATTAGGAGACTTGAATTCACGTCCTAGCTTTGCCACTAATTTTGCAGGATGACTTTAGATAAGTTACTTAACTTTTCTCATTTGTCGAATAATGAGATTGATCCATTTTAAGTTATTTTCTACCTCAAAAATTTCTTTCATTTACTGTTTTTTAAATCATCAAAACACCTTCTCAGAGTTATGTTAAGCACTGATGGGAAGAGAAGTATTTAATAATGTTTAAGGTAGTGTTTTTTAAACTGTGAATAAAGATTACTTGGGGTTCTTATTAAAAATGTAGATTCCTGTCCTCACCGTGGCTGAATCCAAGACTCCCATGGTGAGGGCCAGGTTTCTGTGTTTTTCACAAGCTCCTCAATGATTATAATTTTTGAGAACCACTGGCCTAAAAGAATGTGGTCTAAGAGGTAAAAAGCTAGCATGTGGCTTCAATTACTCTGGCCTCTGGCAAATCCCTTCAAAACACAATACCGTTCAAAGTGCAGGAGACTAGAAGACTGCTTGCTTCAGCAGTCAGCCTTGTGCTTGACCCCTGCTTAATGCTTTTTACTTGCCGTGTACTAATAAAACACAACAAAAGTTCTGTCTGGCAGTTCTTGAAGAGGGCTGCAAGCTCCCCTAACAGTGAGAGACTGCAGCTTGTGCCACCGGGCTCGAGGAAGAAAGACAAGTAAAAACAACCTCTCTACTCTTGATTCACCCTTTATCTGGCTGAGAAAACAAAGTCTAAGCCACACTGTTCTCACTCTGTGGCCAGAGAGTGGACTTATCTAATAGTTCAAACCTCTTCTATACAGTAGAAATGACCAAAGCCCCATCTGTCTCTTTTCCTTCTTAAAGCTGTTCACAGGAACAAAACACCAAGTAAGACACATGCTAGAGATTTTTAAATCCATATAAATAAATTACAAAGAGAGGTGGTAATATTTTCTTTAAATTTAACAACAAATTCCCTCATGATGAAAAAATACGTGTAATTTTAACAGGAAATTTAAAAGACATTTTGTTACAAGACTTAACATTCATGAGAAAAATGCCATTCATTATCTGTGCTCGTTATAGAGAAACGTAACAGCAACTTTAAAAGGCCAGGTGTACTGATACGATGAAATTTCTTTTTCAACAATCAGTATGCCAACATCAAACTTCTGGGTTTTATTCAATACTAGTATCACAGGTTTCTCCTAACCCAACCAAAACTCCTGCCAAATGTCCACAAAATTCACACCAGAAACAAAAACAGAAGAACGTTGGCGATAGCTACCATGCACAATCACCAGAAGAGCCGTCGCTCGGCGCCCAGGTGAGCAGGAGCTGAGGCGTGCTGCACAGGGGGCCGCTGCGGAGGCCACCTGCGGGCCCCTGGGGCGCTGGACGCTCGAGTCCTGGGGTCAGGGGTGTTCACGGACCTGTAAGAACCAGGATCTTGGCCCAAACTTTTAAGATCTTCTAAAAATAAAATACTTCACCTAAATTGAAGTAATTTATAAGTCAAACAGCAGAAGCAGTCCTTACTTGATGTACGTTGTGCCTAAAACTTCGGCTGGTACAAAGAAACCCGCCCGCTGAGGCACCCTGAGGCAATCTGACAATGCGTTGGAGAGAACTTTGTCGTCAGTACCACGTCTTTATGAGAGTACAGGGAACGGGTCACCCGCAAGGGGTTGGCTTCTTTGGGCAAACAGTCAATCAGTTCACTGCACTGTTTGTCAAATCCCAACAAGCGAATCCCGTAGCCATGTGGGGAAGAAATCATTCGCCCATCAGGGCTGAAGCAAAGTTCTTTGATATAACCCCTGCCTACGTTGGCTTCTTCAATGTAATGAGTCAGTCGTAGAGAACAGCGAGGTGAGACAGGTCGCACAGGCGCTCCCTCCTGGAATTCATAGACACATGTCCACTAGGTGGGAGAGAAAGACAAACCAAAGTTACACAGCCCCAGAAAATGCTACAGATATGCCTTTTAAAAAAATGCTCAACAGAACGCTAAAGCCACAGAAGAAGTGCAAGAAATCATTCAGATGAATGCTACCCCTCCAAACTAATGCGTAGGGCCCATACCTTCTTATCTTTATAAACTAAGGTTATTCTCTACTATGTGCACCAATGCCTTTTATTCCCTGAGGTTGCTGTGACTTCTATAGTAATAATTCCTTTTTCCAAGAGTAACAACAATCTTGATATTTAAAAAATTCTAAGGTTAAGACATCCAAGCCTTAGAATACCTCTCCTCTGACATATTTCAGAGGCTCTTCTCTCCTTTCAGTGTGGCATCTAGAAATATTGAGACTCCGGCCTTCCAGAGTGGTGAGAATCCTAAAGTCCTATGAGGCATTTTCTGCTCATCATCAGTTTAGTCCCTTCCTTTCCTAAATATTCCCCTGGTTTTTAAAAAGAGAAAATTATCATATTCAGTTGGCTTAGTGAAACTTCACATTTAGCCAGCTTGGCTGAAACATATCAGTTCTATGTTTACTATGCATGGGTTTTTTATACTAGATGAAGGAGGCAAGAATTAAGAAGATGAGAATAAGCTGAGCTGGTGATACTTTAAAGTCCTCTCCGGCCTGCCACACTGAGGTCGCAGAGGAGGAAGAGGGCTTCCCAGGGATAAAGGTGCCAGGAGCACACATGGCAATGGCCCTCATTTGATCAGCCCTGTCACAGGCGGACAGCTGCTGCCTGTACCTCCTGATCATCAGTGTTACTGGAGCATCGCAGAAGAGTGGCCCAGCCTTTTGGGTGCAGCTGTAAGGATGTTATGCAGTTTCCACGGTCTCTCTCACCAGGAACTTCAGGGGTTAAGACTTCAAGACTATTTCGTGGTGAAACTCCTGAGATACAAGAAAATTAGGATGTGGGATTGTATTATCAAAGGATTAAAGCGCTCATCAAAGCTTTGATTTCTTGCCAGTCCTTCACCTGCCCCGTATGCTACCACATGTGGGGAAAAAAAAAAAAACAACGCAGTGCCACAAAAATTCAATCATAATGTAAGTTGGTCACAGGGATAGCAGTGCAGCATGGAGAATATAGCCAATGAATCTGTAACATCTTCCTATGTTGACAGACAGTAACTACGCTAGTGGGGGTAAGGATTTAAATATGGGTAACTGTTGAACCACTATGTTATATACCTGAAACCAATATAAGATTGTATATCAATGATACTTCAGTTAAAAACAAAACAAAACATGGTGCCCCTCAATATATGCAGGTGAGGGGATGAGGAACTATATGACTAAAGCTAAAAAATGCAAGGTACTGCAGCAGGAATCACCAATGACCTAAGGCTAAGGCATTAATGTTGACTAGGGGTCCTTTTGATTTGATCTCAGAAGCAAAGTTATGTGGCAAAAGTTAGGGCATGAAAGGAATCTGGAAAAATAAAAGGAAACAATTTTCATCTCAACTGACACCCCAGAGGACCTGTGCTCTCTACTCCACAGAAGGAAATACTTGGAAGCCATGAAGACTCCCTTCACATAAATAAAAGGCTATTGTGCAGCAGGACTTAGGGCCCCCAAGTCCAGTACTACAAATGACAAACAGACCTACAATTTTGGAGGTGAGGAAGGGCACCTCACACAGAGGCAGGTCAAAACAAGGGGTGGGCGATACTGCCAATCATATATATTCTGGTACTCTGCTATGGCCTCTCATTTCCTTCTATCTCGTCCCCAGTGATAGTGAATGCTACAGGAAGGCACTGTCTCTGATGGGAGTACTGACATATCCCTCAGGTACATGGAGAACCACTTTCATAGATATTGTAAGGAAGTAGCTTAGAAATTTGGTATCAGCAGAAATACCTCAACATTTCTCTGCCTGTGAAAGGAGCTGCTTTGAAGATAATGAGCTCCATCATGATGACCTTTTGTGAATTGTTTCTCAATAGAAATGCTACTGATTTTTAAAAATTAAAGTGTCATTGATATACAAAATTATGATGGTTTCAAATACACAACACAGTGGTTCAGTATTCACCCATACTATCAAGTCCTCACCCTCCTTATTGCAGTCACTGTCCATCTACATAGTAAGATGTTGCAGAGGCTTTAACTGTCTTCTCCATGCTGTACTACTGTTCCTGTGCCCAACGCATATTGTGATTGAGAGTTATTGTGCCCCTTAATCCCCTTCTCCCTCCACCCTCCCCAACCCCCCCTCCTATGATAACCACTAGTCCCTTCTAGGTGTCTATGAGTCTACTGCTATTTTTTTCCTTCTCTTTTGCTTTGTATTTGTTTTTATTGAGGTGTCACTGATATGCAATCTTAAAAAGGATTCAATTGAGCAACATTGTGCTTACTATCTTCACCCATATTATCAAGTCACTCCTACACACTCCACTGCAATCACTGTCCACCAGCCTAGTGAGATGCTACAGTTACTATTTGTCTTCTCTGTGCTATACTGCCTTCTCTGTGACCCCCCTACATTATATGGGTTAATCACAATGCCCCTTAGTCCCCTTCTCCCTCCTTCCCCACCCCTTTCC